TTAAAGGACCGAATAAGATATGTTTATTATTTTCAAATGTTAATAATGTCCGTATGTTTTGTGCACGACTAAGTTATTAGTACCTTCTAGAGCCTGTAAGATACTTCCTTTCGGGTTTATGGAAGGACAAAAGCGAAAAGTCATCGGTTGACATTGAATCATTAAGCCATGTTTCCGAGAAAACAAACATGTCAAATTCTGGTAAAGAGAAGATCGAGCTTATGTCGTATGCTCTGTACATTTCAATCGACCATTTGTTCTCTTTAAGTACTCAAAAAATGATTATTTTAATTTTTAAAAGAGCCTGTATACCATGTATGATGACAGTGTGTTTACAGATATCAAGTGTAAGCATAATATGGTTTTAAACTATTTTGACTTTAAACTGTATACCCACCATTTACACCTTAGTGGCATATCACTTTAATTAAGTTCATTGAGGTGAGATTGATAAATTGGAATTGCAATGCGCAATTATATGTAATTACCTTTCTTTTTTAATTTCTGAACGTTACAGTTTGAATGTTTCTTTACTTAGTGGGAAAGTGTACACAAACTATAGATGCCCAATGATTCAGAATAACATTTGATAATTCGAAAACTTAGAAGAGAAAAATATGATGAGTATTTAAGTGAATACAAAAATAAAACGAGGTGGTTAATGGTTCATTTAACTTGAATGTAAATGAAATTTCAAAGGCTCATCATGAATTATGCACATAATCGAAAAATGTGACCATAACATCAATAAAGTATGTTTAAACTAAAATGTCATTCAGGGGGAATATAAAGGGGTTGGGCAGATTCATAATTATAACTATTGATATATGTTTAATGTCCTCCTCACTTTTCGCTTGTTCTCTTTCATTTACAGAAAATAATCACATCAACAACAATTATGATAACACCAACACCAAAATAAAGCTCCAACCAACAAAGCAATCATGAACTAATAAACGAAACAACAACAACATTTTGAGGAAATAATCAGACCTGATTTTATTTCGGGATTTATATATGAACCTACAGAGGAGACCAACCTTCAATATGATTAAAATTTCCATTGAAAAACAACTTAACTCAAACAACCTGGACGAATGCCGCATTATCATAATTTATAAATATGTAATGTCAACAATGTTTGAAAAGGAAGTTACGGATAAGATATTATCAAATAAATACCCTTGCTGACAAAAAAGCTTATAATCAATGATCCTAAAGGACAATATAACTTGTGTTTAAAATCTAGACTAACTGAAGAATGAAGCAAATGGTTTGAATATGAGTTAACATTTAAAACGTCACTAAACAAACTTGAAACCGTTGTTAAAATACTAAACTAATCATGATATGAGCCGTGTAACGACAAAACCAACGTAACGCGTTTGCGATCAGCATGTATCCAGCCCAGCCTGCGCATCCGCGCAGTCTGATCTGGATCCATGCTGTTCGATATCAGTTTCTCTACTTGTAATAGGGTTTGTGCTGGCGGATATCATGAGTCATCATTATCGTTTGAATATTGTGTGTTAGATAGTAGAATACACATGCATGCATCATACGACGATTGATCAGAGTGCGCTTAATAATTCAACACAATGCTATAGGCTAAAACGTTGATTTTTACATCTTATCTCGGACGCCTTGAATATTAGATTTCAGGAACGGACTTGATGATTAAATATTGAAAAGTGTAAACACAACGCTATAAAATTAGTTCATCTGCTCATATTAAAAAAGAGTGTTCGTAAAATCTCATTGACATTGGAACTTCTTTGTGCTATTTTTATGCAATTCATATGGAATTTAGTCTGTACATTAATCATCTAAGTTGTTGTTACATGAAAATGAACATATAATTGCACATAACGATAACATACCATTAATGCTGTATTTATAGCGTCTTATCAACCTTTTCAGCCGCAATTTACACATTAAATATAAAGTAACATGTCATCAAGGTCCGATCGTTTAAAATACGTTTACATATGTTCGAAAGTTTTCACGTTTGCAATGGCAGTAACTATTGCATTTCTTACTTATATTAGACTTGATTCAACATTGCCTTGGAATGTAGAAATAATTTTAACCGAGAAAACAAATGCTTTTGTACAAAAGCAGTGTAATGGTACACAATTCCCTTTACAACTAAACACGGAGGAAAAATGGGGGTCGAGTTGACTTGAACGAAACAATTCATGTTATTTCTGCATACTACGTTCAGGAAAGGGAAAGAGTGTTTATCATTGGAACAAAGCCTTTCTTTGAGGTTTCTCTTATATGTCAACTTTGGTATACCAGTTTCAAAGATAGCAGATGGCATGTCCAACAGATTATTGCAAATGTGGTTGCTCCGATCGGAGCAACAGGGTCCAAGTAAGTTGTTTTATCCCAATCCGCAATTGTCACCATTTCACTTTGTAATTCATTATAGCGTTGTAATTCTGTTCTGCTCCATCTGGAACATTGATGCCGATACTTTTAGAATGTTTTTCGAGGGTGTTTACAGCTTAAGTCAATTCTTATGGACGTGCGAGATTGTGCACGCTCCATTTCTTCTGATAAACAAACCAAACCAATATTATGTTTAACAGTTGTTTTGTATTTGTATTTGCTTGCATTGCTCTCAGCAACACATGTTTCAAAAATATACATCATGTACGCGTATTAATTTTGAGGTTAGAACGCTTACAACGTAAAATTTGAAATTCTTTAAAATATTAACAAGGGTATTTAAAGAGGAAAATATGCAAAACATAAAAAATAAAGAAATATTACATATACAATAAAACTTAAAGTAAAAATCGACCTTTTAACTATGATACTTAGTCCGATTTGTGTTAAAAAAATAAACGCTTTTCCGTTATTGTGCCATTTTGTATAATAAAATGATATAGTGTGTCATATCGCATAACAAAAAAAAAACAAAAACAAAAAAAAACAAACAAACAAAAAACACTAGAATGAGTGAATTTTTTAATTAGTTCATTGGTCTAAACTTACATAACATTTTAAATAATCCATGCACAAAAGTATTTTCAAATGCAAACACAATGTCTCGGCCTGATATCAAATATGGTGTTGTTTTGTAAAACTTTGTCATCGACAGCAATTTCTTATTTTATGATAAATTTATTCTAACATACATTATACTTAAGAAGACTCCTTTTTGTGCTATAAACAGAGCGATCATTACTACGCCAGTTTAGGAGATAGTTATCTTATACGGTAAATTTGATTAATTGTATTCCTTTAAAATCTCAAAATTTTCCACTGCTTCGGGATTTACATAGGTGATTCAAGTTGACACAGTTTTTGCGTTGTGAGGCACTGTTATTTTATCAACAGGTGAAAATAGTCATTACACCTATCTATGTTGAAAATTGTAATACACATCTGCATGTTAATCGCGCCACTTCAATAACAGTGACGTTATGTTTAATTTGTGTAAATCATGTAAATAAATAAATAAATAAATAAATAAAATAAATAAATAAATAAATTAATTAATATATTAATAAATAAATAAATAAATAAATAAAATAAAAAAATAAATTAATTAATAAATAAAAAACATGTTAATAAATAAATAAATAAATAAATGCAATTCATAATCAAGATAATAGAGAAATGATGCAAAAACTGAACAAAATAATTAATGAAATTAATAAAGAAATAAAGGAAGTCTTATGAAATACAAAAAGAGAAAGGAAGAAAGACAACCAACCATAAATTAGTTAAACATAAATGAATTAATAAATATTTAGATAAATAATTAAATGAAAAATGAAAAGAAGAAGAAATGAGTCAATAAATTATTAAATTAATAAATGAATGTAAGGAAATAAATAAATAAAAAAATAAATCGTTATAGATACAAATGCAACAGATGTTTTGATAGATAAAATTAAAAGTTACATCTAGATAATGATTGTGCTAAAAGTTATATTCATACTTATAACATAAACTTATATGGCATTATGTTAACTATGGAGATGCTCTGAACCATCAATAATAAATTTCTAGGTTGCAAATAATACCTTTAGAAATAATGTCCGTAAAGCTTCAGGTGTTTCGAAAAATCGGTTTACATACAAAAACAATTATCTAAGATCTTGAAATTGGCAGTATAAATTTGAAAACAATATGATTGTAATTTTATTTTAAATTTATGTAAATGTTCGCAGCAATATACTCTTTAACGATATTTTTAAACAGCCTATTGTGTAATGCGATGACGTCGCACATTACCATATTGGCTTTGAAATGTGTATATAAATCCTTCAATTATATGATAAATTTTCTTTCTTTGTAATCGAACGTATCCAATTTGTAAATTCAATATTTTTTTATTGTCATTTTAATACGATTGTATACAATAATCGAACATACTCTTTACATGTTTGTATTTTGTATATACATCTGTATATATATTTTTGATGAATAAGCATGCCTTTTTGATATCTTTTGAAATACAGAATAGTGTAAATGCTGCTACACTTCTTTCTTGTTTTCATTTAATTCTCATAGACAAATGACACACCTGTGCACATCCGATAAATCTCGACTAGCACTGTAGTGAAGTTGAAATGCAAGTTGACATTTTTGGGTGAGGGTTTACGTCGCACTAACAAAGTATTGGTCATATGACGACTTTCAAGCTTAACTAGTGGAAGAAGAGCTCAAGTCTCCTGTCGTGCATTATTTCAGGCACGAACGAGGATCTTAGTAGAACCAACGACGTTCCGTAAGCTAGCAAGATAGCTTCCTCACATGAAAGACGTCAGTTCACACAACGGCGTGGGACATGTGGTTTGAAGTCAAAACATTTTAACCAGTTGGCAATAACGCTTCGATAGCTTATATTTGAGAGATAAACTTAAGATTGACTGTTCAATTTAAAGACATATTTGTACAGGATTGAAAACTCAAAACACAAAGACTATTCTATTTATTTATAGAAGTATTAACAGAGATCTTTCTATATTGTATGTATAATCTAAAGTTAGCAACAACTGTGGTGAATGTCATTTACATCTTCTCATATATTATGTCCTTTACCGAAAATTAAATATTTATTAGTTGTTTCTAGGAGCCCTTCTTAAATAAGAAAACAGAGATCCGCAAGGGAGAACGGCATCCAATGAGCTTCTCCCAAAACAACACAAAACCACCGGTAAAAACAATAAACAAAGTATTTTGCTTAGGAAATAAACAAGCATAATATGAATGAATAAAATAATAATTCCAAATAGTGAAATAACATGTATGATACAGAAAATCCTAAACATAATAAACATAGGTTATGACATTTTTAAAATCATTATCATCTTTATCATTATCATCATTTTATCTTATTTTTATTATTGTCATTTATTATATACTTATAAATGAAATATTGAGAAAAAATGATGGAATGTAATGCATATTCTCATTTTCAATAGTTAAAATTGTAAAAACATATTTTTAAACTGTTGTGAAACATTTTTTCCGTATTTCATACTCGTGTCTTGCTGAACCACTTTCTTCCAAATGTAGCAATACACAACATTATAGGGAAATTCTCTCTGATTGTAATGTCAAAAAAGAGAAAAATGTCGATAATAAACAAAATATTCAAGTATTTTCTATAACATAAATGTATTTTTTTTTCATCTTTTGGTATGAAAATTATTATATTACACTCGTAGTTACAGCCACTAATGAAATATTTATTTTCATACCACTCGATGAAAATAGATTTAGTATTTATAGGAAAATCTTGTGAATGAGTATCCTCTATTCTGTTGCAATATTTTTCATTAATAATTATTGCCAATGCATTGTTACACGCTTTATCTCAAAAGATAAGATGTCTTATACATATTCCATAATAAAACGAAAGATGAAATATTATTACATATAATCACACATTTAAAACAAACATATAAGATCTTTACATGTCTTTCTGTCTAAAAATTCAATAGAAACTTATTGTGTACACACGCTAAACAAAAAGTTAACATATAAATTTCATATCAACTGAATTATCGACAGTATTTCCTAAAATAACATAAAATATATATTTAAGTGTAGTTTTTAAGCATATACAGCTCAACTTCATATATACAACTAATATAAAAATGCATGAATATGAAAAACGGTAACGCGTATCAATGAATGAAATATACTGGTGAGAGTGCAAAACAACCACATGTCATATATACAATATTATTTCAGACAATACAACCGTGGTCTTATACATATCACTATCCGGCATTCAATGAATCAAATTTTAATTACAATAATATATAACTTTTTTTTTAACACTGAAATAACTTAAACTATAAACTCTGTAATTGAATTAGAGTGCGTCTTTGTTTTATAGTGCTATTAACAACCTGAATCGTTTGATCCTTACACCCTCCTCAACATCATTGCAGAGCTTTTCAACGCAATTGCATTATTAAAGCCGACATGAACGTGTCCGCAAACATTCTTTGCGGCACCAGTAATATTGCATGTTGCTCCCGGTTTTGCGTAATATCCATTCAGATTTACATAGCCGCAGTTTTTATACCACCATGCTCCGTGACGCTCAACGGCGCAATTTTGTACAACGGAATCAAGGTCACGGTCAAAAGTTGAAAATGGTTTCAAATTGTGATACTTCAATCCCCTTTCTTCAGAGCCAGCTGAAAAAGAAAACAATAGTTACTTATTAAGTATTAATAAACACTGATAGGCAATGTTTAAATTTTACGTCGATTGTTTGCATAAAATGTTAAAATAGAAACAAACAATCCCTAATGAATGTTCAAAGCGACAAAGTTAGAAATGTTGCATGTTCGGTTTGATGAAGCCTGTTCATGAAAGTGCAAGGTAAAGTCCATGCCCCCTAGCCCGGGTTAAATCAGAATTGATCATTATAGAATAAAATGCTTTCTTGAAAGATGACTTTCACCCCAATCCTCGCACTCGCCTGAAAGTCTGAAAGGTATCGGTTATCTACTTGTCAGCTAAATAACATTCTTACATGGAACAATTCAAAATCCCTTGCAGACTATATATTCTTCCTTGCAAAGATATTATTTGCTATATCGAGTATTTATTTTGTTACTTTTGAATTACTTAAACACTGTGGATTTTGATTTAAATTTAGTGTGAAGATACTATAAAAAAGTAATCAAGTTCTCTTTTTATAATGTTTACCATAGCTTCTCTTTAAGGCAAGATCAGATCTATTGTAGTATTATATCGACGGGTGTCTGCAAAACGTAGACGTCCAAGTTTTCAAAATGTTGAGTATGACAAAAAATCTTTTAATTTGTATTTGCCTTAGAATTATATGGTACTACTTAATTGAAGTACTGGTTGTTGTTTTCTGTAAATGGTGTAAAAGTCTCCAGTTCGTATCTTTATCCAAATTGCCAATACATACCCAACTTCTTTTTTGCATGCTAGTTTTATACATTGTTTTTTAAATCTCTCGAGCAAAAACAATGTTTCTTTATGGAAATTGTAACTTTTAAGTCAGAATTTCCTGCACAATCATTGTATATGAATTAACATTATTTGTGCTTGAAGCATATTCAAAAGTGAATCGCTGTTTTTGTCTGCAAAAACCGTTCAAAAACGATTTTCATGTATTGAGTCATTAATGCCAGCAAAAAGCTCGTGTGAGTATGTGCTACATTTTAGCATGAACATAATATTGAAATGATTAACACAAATTGTCTGCAAAATCACAGTAATTGCAATTTACAATGTCTTTCCACTTAACATTTTGAATTACAAACATAACTTATACATGTAAAAATAAAGTTGTTTGAGAAATTCTGTTCATTCGTATATTCTTATATTTAACCTAAATTGAAAGAAAGAAAGTTATATTTGATATGCAATGACTTTGCAAACATTATTAACCATATTTTTGTTCATTTGATGGTATTAATACCATAAAGTTGTTGATATATAATTTTACGTTGTACAAACATCCATGTTTTGTTATAAAATGTAATGAATTTCGATAATTATATAATTTTGCTTCTCCTAAACAAAATACAAGAGGCTTTATTTGGCATCAAAACTGTTTTTCAAAAGTCGGAAAATCTAGATTCCGTACAATTATATAGGTTTCCATATCAAACTATCAAACTCGACAATGACCACACAGTTGTTCTACGAGCTTTTGATTTGAACGATCTAAGAATCGATTGAACAAATAAAAAAAAAATACTCCATGCTCGAAAGATTCTCATTTATTGGCCGACTCTCACACTATAATGAATATACTTAACTTCAAGTTCAATCACTTATACAGTCTTCATTTTTCATAGCATTTTCAAAAGTATTCTGAATAAATTTGTTCTGTCAGAAAAATATATATTCATATTAGATAGTATTTCAAAGCAATCACTGTAACAGTTGCTATTCTAAGTCATCTCCATTTGATTCTTGTATTGATTATACGTAGCAAGAAATATTCAAGCCCAAACTGTCATCAAATGAAACTCCGAAGAGATCTGATTGCACTTTTTCGGTAAAACTCTCACGAGTAAAACACACTAAATTCACAGTGAATGAATATTTCTTTGTATTGCGTATTTAAATATGACAAAATTAAGTTATTATTTATAATAATTGTTCAATCAAAGCATAAAATGAAACTTTAATGCACTTTTCTCCTATATGTCAAATTCTCAAACCAAAATAAAAGTAAAATTGCAAAGCAAAGTTGTTTCCCTTTAAGTATTTTCATTAGTCCGAGGTTTTCCTGTGACCAATGACAATACTCCATTTGAAAACAATCGCAAATCTGCAAGAAGACTGTAACTTTAAAGGAGTGGTTTTAGCACCGAGATATTATATATATGGAATAGAACATTATCACTTAATATATCATTTTACTTGGTTTTTACAAGAAAATGTAGGGGTAAATATTTTTACGTGAATTGATCACAAATCAATATCTCAATAACTATTCAATGAAAATTTGACATATGGCACATCTTTCTCGATCATTTTTGCGCACTGTCATTGTCAAAAACGAGACCTAAACACTTATAAAATATGATAATAAGATCAACAAAAAAATGCGGTGTTCAAAGTTTCAAGTTCCTATTTCAAGTTTTTTTTGTTATGCTCTTCACAAAATTTAAAATGGAAAAATATAATAAAGGACACGTATTCAAACAAATAAGGAAGCGGGGGGGGGGGGGTCTTGTGTACGCAATCCTCATTTGCTATGGGATGGTTACTGGAGACTAACACAATGTAATCTCCGAATTCCGGAACTTCTTAAATCCGGAAACTTCTGAAATTCGAAAAAAATCAAGGTCCTATAATTTCTCTTTTAGTTTTCCAGAACTTTTAATTTCTGAATTCCGAACCATTAAGGTTATATTAGTTAGAATTTACATAACAAACAGTTATTTTAATAGGATATGATTGAATGTTTGTATTTTACCTCACTTTAATTATCAAATTGAAGTTTTAATAAAACTTTTGTCATTTATATTATAGCTTCATTTAAAAACGTTCAATATACAATAATGTTGATATGCATATACAAATCTCAGAGAGTTTCAACGAACTGGCCAATCACAATGACCTCCGAACCGTTGTATGAAAATAGAGAACAACGGAATCCTTTGTGTGCGACAACAACTGAATTAATTGAAATTGTTACAAGCTCGGTTTAATTGAGCCTGTTCATGAACGGTAGTGGAAATTGCACGCTACCGGCCACGCCCCCTTACACCAGCTTAAACAGAATTCAAAATCCAAAACGAATGTGCTCGTATTGCTTCCGGATGTACAAGACTTGTTTCACTCGAAAATCTTTCAAATGAAATAAACTGGGAATCTCTCGAAGAAAGACGATATATACATAGAATGATCTTACTTTTTAAAATTCAAAACGGACTAGCTCCAGATTATCTATTCTCAATTCTCCCAACATCAACTAATAATAGGTACAATCTAAGAAATATTGACAATATTCCGGGAATATATGCAAGAACTACACTTTATTTTAACTCTTTTTTCCGACTGCAATAAGGGAATGGAATAATCTTCCACACGACGTCCGTAACCTTCCAACTATCACATCATTTAAACAAAATTTGAAGAAAAATATACGGCACACGCCTAAGTATTACTTGTCTGGTGAAAGAAAACTTCAAATTCTTCATACAAGACTTCGAACAAAGTGTAGTTCTCTAAACTACCATTTATTTTTGAAAAACATAACTGCATCACCTTTATGTCTTTGCGGCGAAATAGAAAATAACTTTCATTTCTTCTTCGAATGTACACAATTTGACACAGCTCGACAAAAGTTACTTCGAAATTTAAATAACTTTGACATTGATTTAAATGTTCTACTTTTAGGCAACCCAGACCTTTCTGACCAAACTAATGACATAATTTTTTCACACGTACACACTTACATCCAAGAGACAAAAAGTTCATTTAACACCCAATCACTTAAACATTATATTCCTTTACTTTATACCTCATTATTTATCTTTCTCCTTCTTCACTACCTTTTCACCTTTCTGTGTTATTGTCAAATACTTTTCTACATTGTATGATAATATTTATTTGAATGTTAATTCAATCTATTGATATATTCATTCTAAATATGTATTCATCCTAAATTTATTCAATGGAACATACATGACATATACAATGTTTCTTAAAGCATTTGAATACATATCAATTTCTGTGTTTTCTTTTTCTCTAATATATTTTGTTTTCAAGATTTTTTTTTTCTATATTATATTCGTCTCAGATTATAAAATATGTAATTATTTAAGCGCCTATTACATGTCAATTACTCACTTAGGAGAAGAATTTCATAAGACATGTTGTCTTTCATTCTAATCCTGTTTTTTTAAGAATATTTGAATTGCATCTGTATATTGTGAATTATAACATGTATATATATTCTGAGAAATAAAATATGTTTAAACTAAACAGAATTCACATTTAATAATCGTAATGGTGAAATTGTCAATTTATAAACATCTGCTGATGTGTACATACGGCGGTTATCATGGAAACTCTGTCAAACGTTAGTGCTATTCCATGAAAAGCGCCGAATAGCCTAAAATTTAAAAATGCGTGTGCACTAAAAAAGAATACAATGGGTGAAACTAAATAAAATGCAATTTTAAAAACAAATATTATGAAGCTTGCACATTACAGACAAAACGTCAAAAGAATAATTAAAACCATTTCACTTCAATACAATCATACCTCCTATTGAACTTCGAGAACCTATGTTCAACCGATATTTTGTTCCGTCTGTTAACTTGAAGTCTTGAAAGGTCTCATGGCCTGTAACACCAGTTTCTTTAGTCATGTCAACTCGAAGCTCTGTTGGACCTTGCTCGGCTAGTTCCTGTATGTATTTCAGACCTGCAGGGAGCAGAATAAATTATAAATTGAAAAAAGGCAACCCTAAAAGCTGTCAGGAAACTTGTTAGATAATTATCCAAGTCTTATCATTTTGATTCGTTTACGTACAGGAAGTAATATGTCACATAGGTACAACATAAACACCCTCATTAAAAATGAAAATAAAAACATATTTTTATAAGCTTTTGTGGAAAACCTTTTGATGCCGTTTAAAAAAAAACATAAACTTTATTTGTACTTTATCACCTCAGGGATGTTAAAATGATATTTAATATTAACTCTAAACTGTCAATGATTCTATTCTTTACTTATTTTAGAACATGTATCAGCTCACTTTTAGACTTCATAATTATAGTTTTTCTGAGCGGTAATGCAAACTTATGTGTAAATTTACCGTTAAACCAAAACAAACAAATCTTTCAGACGGCACGAAGGTGTGAGAGAAATATTCATATTGCTATTTTAGCCATTCATTGTTCTATCTATTAGCTTCACAGAAATAAAACCTTCGAAAGGTGTTGTGTGAACGTCTTCCCGCCTCGTAAATACTTGTTACCATTTTGGGTGTCGTAATAGCATATGAGATGTGCGTAAATGTAGGTGAATAAATGAATGAACAAAGAGTTTGTCTGTGCCCAACTGCTTAATTAATAGAGAGGGCGTCGGATTTCTCCGTGAAAATTGATCATGGACATTGTGTCCAATTGTCTGTTTTCTCACACTGCTGATTCAAACAGTATTTGGGATATATCTTCAGTTTTCTTCGGAGCAATTGTTAATAAAAAAGCAGTCAGGTGAATTATCCACCGAGATATGACCAATAAATGTGTCAAAGTCCGCGAAATAAAAATAACGTATCACTCCTTCTAACAAAATATTTATTTTAAAATATAAACCATATTCAATGATACAATTGTATTATTTTCATTACATTGGCTTCTTTTCATTTTAAAAGTAAAGGAGTATTCTTTACACTGACTACTATTGTAAAAATTCACATAAATATATTACATGTAAACCAAATGGTGACAGATGCTTTGTAGCTGTGAGACAAAGCCAATACAAAAACAAAAAATAAACCCTACCTAGCCAAAATTCTCCGTCAGCGTTTCCAAAACCATTTTCATAGTCCTTGAAGTTCCGATAAAATTCAACTGACCCGTCCAAACGCCTATGGAATATCTATAAAGAATACATTAAGACTAGCGCATGATTTTGTTTTAAATTATAGTGAAATTTCATTGAGCAATCGTTTGTAAAAGAATAATATATTTACGACAACAAAAATCATGTTTCCTTCCCGTTACACAGATTCAACAACAAACTGGTACATGTATTTAACCTGTCTAGAGCAGCAATGAAACTCAATGTCGTCTGAAGGGTGTTAAACTGCAAAAGTTGTATTGTATCAAATATGTCTATATGACTATAATTTCCACCTAGCAAATGATATACTTTCATTGTAAATAGATTGTTTGTCCGTGTCATGACTTTGCTGCATATATAGTATAATTTTAGGTGCTCAAACATCATATTCCATCGACAAATCATTTTATGTTTTTAAAGAAGAATATTGCTTTCAATGATTCACACCATAACGAGTCACTTTGCAAAGATCGCATATGATTAGAAATTGCTATCTCATTTAAATAATTAATTTTCCTTATCAATGTATGAAACGTTTTACATTTTCCAATCATATTGATTATATCAATTGTCATAAAACGCAATATTCATTGAAAAATACCGCATAGTTTTGATTATAAAAAAAACAACATATAATGCAGAAAAAAACGTTTTCATTTGAATTTACAAACGTTTGCATGTCCTTTATAATTTGTAGATATTAATAATAACAAAGCATTACAAACAAAAATCAAAATTCATGTACTTTCTGGAATTGTAAACGTCTTCTTTTGCATATACTTCTAGTTTTAGTACTCTTATAAGTTTGTCTTCTCAGAATGTCTATATGTTTCTTTTAAATGACGCTATGGCCACGAGTTATGTCGAATTTGATAATTTATAGACAGAAAAACAAACATACCGTCCAGCCACCTCCTGCGGTTTCCATGTCACAATTCACTGTCAGAATCGTTCCAGATTGCCATAGTACTATATCATATAATCCACTTTGTGCTTCAGGGAATACATCGTGAATGTCTTTGCAGTCGGTGACTAAAAATTAAAAAAAACACAACCAAATACTTTATATTCAGTAGTGAAAGCATCAGGAATTTCATAATTGTCGTTGTTTAAGAAATATGTTTTAAATTAACGGTTTTTATTTTATACATTAGCAAAGACATCGAGAAAGTTTACTAAATATTAAACAAAACGGTATGCCTTACGTACCTCAGGAAATTCATCTAAAGATTTCTTTACATCCAGCGATACCGTTATAGAAAAACAAATACTTCATAAACGGAATTCATGAATTAAATATAAGTGAAGACATGAAGCATTTCTTATTAGTTGCTGGTATAGAACTGGACAAAACAGTACACACATGTATCGCGGAATTAATAGACATTTATTTCAACAATTCCTGATTTAGAAATAAACCTTACTCTTTTCAAATCTGGAAGAAAGGTTATCTCTCGGATGCATTGATCAAAACAAAAGTACATGGAAATTGCAGACTCTGTTTGATTTAGTCTGTACATGAGGGATAAGTGAATAAGTGCAACATCCCCCATATCCCCTAGCACCGGCTTAAGTGTTACTCTATTTTTAACAATTAAAAGTGATATAATCAATAAAACCAAAGGACCAGAAATATATAACAACACTGAAGTGAAGTTCGGTACGATATCATACGATTTTGTACATGAAACTTTAAATGTTTAATCATGCTTGAACGTCCATTGGACTATCCGAAATTCAGAAAAAGGTAACACCATTACATTCATTTAACAGATATGGTTGCATGGCCTTCTCTTGGTCCGGTTATATGTTTATATAAGGACTTTGAACATGTCTTAAATCAATTTTTAATAATTTATTAAAATATGTTATGTGCACCTACATTTTTGTCATTTAGTAATTTTAAAAAGATGCATTCATATACGTTACATTGATGGCACGAAGCAGTTTGCCATTGCCCCGTTGCTAAACACCTGACCTCCTTTTGAATTGTAACAAATCCATCGTCACATTTAACCAATGCCACATCACAGAACTTGTGTACACCTGTCGCAACCATCTCTAATATACCATTGTCTATTTTCTTACCATAACTACAAGCTAAAATTTGTATTGAAAAGAAAAGTTTAGATTTTTTCAGTATGTTTACTGATGCAAGATTATAATAGGCTTCCGATATATACAGAACAATTTAGCTCAAAGGAAAATGTCTACTGTGGTAACGAGGCTCTGCCGCTTAACAGTTTCCCCGAAATATAGATATTCTTCGTTTCGACGACAACCAGTGTTCTTTCTGTGCATAGTTCGTTTGAATCATAACTTGTACAGTTTAATCCAATATTTCAATGAAGTTATTTTTTCAGTTGCGTTTGAATGGACAATAGGAATCACAACCATTAAAGTGGAATGTAAGACGTTTTATTCTAGCATCGGTGTTAGCAGAAGAAAATCCTGCCTTGTATGCAAGAATAGTTCAACCTTTGCTGGACGTTTCGCACACCCCAACAATTATTTAAAAATAAAAGCACTTTTATAAAGAATATTTTCCTAAAATTTGGCTGACGCAAGATATCCCAAACACTCCAGCTTTTATTAATACAAAGTTGAGTTTGACACTTAATTCAGAACCATCTGAGCAGGTAAAGTGTAAATCTCGGTAAAAGATGAAAACGGAAATATAAGGAAAAACATACTAAATAAATCTCTGCACAAGTATGACTTATCATTTTCATAGCACCTTTGGTTCGTTTGACAAGGATTTGATTGGCAAGCTCCCATCATCGTCTGCAAAGAGGAAGAAAATGTTAATATTTTTTTTATTCAAGTAAATTTCATAAGGTCATGGATCCAAGAGGACAACATGTTTAATAAGCTACAATTAAAAAGATCATACGTGTATAAAGAAATTATTTCTTAGCAGTTGTGTACAAAATAGAAATTTTGACATTCTTATCTGTCAGATATCCAACGTAAATACATATTAATATACATATATACTATTTCTTTAGTGTAAAACGGTAATGTAACAAATACGGACACAATGCAAGTGTTAACTAAAAGCAATACAAGCGTAAAAGTTTTGTGTAACTTTATATATTTATCTATTTAGTTTGATGTGTGGTTATTGGTATAGTTATAGCGTCTATTTTGATTATTTCATATGGAAGCCAACTTTGTTTATATTCTGTTACCTTTAAGATACGTAATTGTTCGTTCGTTCAGCGCTACGTTCCCCAGGTGAGAGTCAACTAATTCGCGCTTCAAATATTATTAGATATATTTTTGTTGTCTCATAAAAATGTCTCGAAAAACATTATTTCGGGTGATAAATGATGATTAATGACTTTATTATCGAATAAGCTCTCTTTTACAATTTAAAGATTTTATTTCTAATAACTAAATGTTTTTAATCAAGAATTAATTGACTCCATGGCCAAGTTCTAATTCAAATCAATTACCATTTACCGTTGAGGGTTCAAATCCCGAGAGGGATTTTCAGAACTTTCATGCGAGGAAGGTACTTTGCAAGCTTTCGAGAGTACAATAGTTTTACGAAAGTGTCTAACCTTCTACCAGTACAGTTTTGAAGTGGCACAATACATCGTATGAGTTTTCATTTCACAAAATTCCAACCAAGAAGAGCACCAAAATACATTTTACAATTAATTTCCGAGTACGTTTTTTAATCATCGTTTTACATATATTTCTGTTTAAACTACCCCATATAGTTTATAAAAAAAAACTTTAAAAAAGACTTATTTTTTAAAGGATTTTGACCTCAAAAGAGTCGCATTATTGAAAACTTTTTTATTTTTATTTATTTGTTTGTTTGTTTTTGTGAGTTTCTACATAGCATTCACACAGCTAAATAGCGACTTTCCAACTCAGCTGGTGAAAAAATACCTAAGGTGACACTCCGTGCATTTTTTTCAGGCAATAGCTTTTATTCACATAAATAACCTACAGCGGTGTGGGGCAAGTGGTTTGAAGTCAACGATCTTTATCACTCGGCCACGGACGCTCTGTTTATACATGTATAATACATAGAGGATATTTGTTTGTTTGTGTGTAAGATGAAATTTTATTTCATCGAGTGGGCTTTAAAAACAGTATTCTCACGAGTGGCATAGCCACGAGTGAGAATACTGTTTTTAAAGTTCACGAGATGAAATAAAATTACATCTTACACAACAAACAGACAAATTTTCTTTTTATTTTATGCTTTAAAACAAGTTAAAACGAAATTTCCATAATTTTAACGTTAATATTAAAATCTGTTTCCCCCATTGAGAGCCCCATTTAGAGGGAATTTCTCATTAAAAACAAGAAGTCTTGAGCTGAAAAATAAGTCCGCCAATGAAGGTTAAATGAATGTGATATTTATTCATTTTATTAAAAAAATATGAATGATCGCTTGTTTTAATAATAAAAACAAACAATTCTTGTAGGAGGAAAAGTCCAACCATCCATCCATATTTCTGTTACTTACTGCGAATTTATATTAGACCTGGCTTTGTAAAATGTAAACGGCAGCCATTTTTTAAAGTCGTGTATTTCATGGGAGGAAAATAATTGTGTAAGATACAGAAGGATATAATTTGGATTTGTTAGTCATACACCTTTTTAAAAGAAAGAAAACTTATTTGAGGATTGTAACAGACAAAAAATAAGTGTTGACAGAAGTGAAAACATTCAGAAAAGGAGCTAGGAAAATGGAAAACTTGGAAGCTTGCTAAGGCATTGTAAGGAACAGAGGAAAGCTGGGTTGTTTTACTTATTTTACGAGTGATAGCTGTCAATGCTTTTCAATTTTTCATAAAGCATACGGCAGTTATTGCTCGTAGGATACTTTAACATGCCCAAATGTCATCAAGAGCAGTTTTGCATGGGGAAGGAATGTATTTTTCAGACTGTAAAAACGAAACAAAAAAAATTAGAGACGAAATTTTGTGATTGGAATTTGAAGGAATAGAAGTAAGTTTTCTCTCTTTATTTACTTTTGACATTTAAGTTATTTATCTATTTCAGCTTTGCTATTTTTTTAACAGCCTGATATTGTCAGAATTGTCAGTAAAAATAAAATTGAGGTACCACATGGGGAAAATCTTAAAAAAGTAGTTTCGTCATTGAAAAAAGTGAAATTATATTTTGATAATTTTCACTGTGAAATTATCAAATATAATTTTCACGGATAAATCAGTAATCCACTGAAAAGCATAAAATAAAATAACATCATATTTGTTGCCTAAGATATGTAAAGTTATTAAGATAATGTCAATTTTATGACTAAAATCAAATGTATAAAAAAACTAATTTGTTTTTCTTAAAAAAGAAATTTACCTTAATTTGAACGAAACTTTTAATAAAATAACTTACTGATGGCCATTCACTTATATCCGAGAAAATAGATCCTATTTTGGTTTCGAATTCTAACAGGTCTACAGATGAACTTTCGACATCGTTTAGTTTGCAGGTTCTTTCCTTCCTGTCATAATCAATGGATTTACAAATTGTAACGGACATACAATTCCGAGCGCACTCATGATGACTAGAGCCATTTATTTTCAAGACAGAGTGACCAATCAGGGCTTTATTAAGGTGCTCCTTGTTTAGTTCAAAAGACTCGCCTGAGTAACACGTGATCCTGGCAGCTGATCCGCAGATTAAAATTATAACAATATCAATTCCAGGAGCCATAATGCTTGTAAAAATGCATTCAATTTTACATAGGTTTCCTATTTATGTATGTATATTGAAAAACGCAAAATAAGTTTAAAAATATAAAGATATCCAAATGTTCAACAAAGCCAAGCATCTATGTTAATTTGCGACTGAATTTTCTTCTTTAAATATATTGTGTTAGGTCTCTCCAGATCAAGCGCATGTTGCATAATTTACGTACTATTGGTCGCAGTTGGATAATCCAATCGCTCAAAATGCAATTACTTTAATCATATCTTGACAAGTTTTGTTATAAATTTGTAATTATTAGATTCAAGATATTTGCGTTAAGTTCAAATGTCTTTTGTACATTCTGAATTCTCATCTTTAGGAAAAAGATAAAAAAAACATATAATATTTAATGCAATCATATACAGAAAAGTTTTTTTTAGCTCACGTGAGTTTTTAGGATCGTTGAATGTTCGTCTTTGTCGTCCGTCGTCCGTCCACTCATGTTAGTTATCACTCTAGCGGTCACATTTTTGACTCAATCATCATCAAACTCGGTCAGGATGCTTGTCTAGGTGAAAGCTCTCATGAGTTCGAACATGGGTCATCTCGGATGAAAAACAAGGTCACATGATCTAAAAAAAGAAAAACCATGTAAACACTCTTGCAGTCACATTTTAGCCTCAATCATCATCAATCTTGGTCGGGATGTTTGTCTAGGTAATTGCTCGTATGAGTTCGAACATAGGTCATCTCGGATGGAAAACTAGGTAACAGGAGCTTAAAATAGAACAAGAGCCATGTCAACATGGCCATCCCCCGCCGAATGTGCTTCCTCATTGAAAGAATGTATATGTAGTAGAGCGGAATAATTCCATTTTAAGAGGTCTTTTGGTAATGAAAACTGATGGCTATAGTGATTACAGATTTGAAACCTATGTGAATACTGATGGCTGAAAATAACAAAGGGCAATTACTGAAAAATAATGCAGGGTAGATTATCATTCTTGTGTGCTGCATCCCTCCTCAGTAATATCTATCCACCTATGAAGTTTCAAGTTGATACCTCAAATACTTTTTGAGAAAAAAATTGAATTGAAAAATTAAGTATGAAAAAGAACAAAGGGCAATAACTCAAAAATTATGAAAGGTAGAATTATCATTCTTGTGCAGTGCACACCTCCTGAGTGAGATCTATGCACCTATGAAGTTTCATGTTAATATCTCGTAGGCTTTTGGAGTTATGCTCTGGACAAAAATCAATTTTGAAAAATAACAAAGGGCAATAACTCAAAAATAATGCAAGGTAGAGTTATCATTCTTAAGCACTGCACTCCTCCTTAATGAGGTCTATCCACCTATGAAGTTTCAAGTTGATAACTCAAATACTTTTAGAGATATGCTCCGGACAAAAATGTCGGACGAAAGGACGGACGGACGGACGGACGGAAGGACAGAAGGTCGAACGGACGGACGGAGACTATTTCTTAGGGGATAAAAAAACCTTGTTAACACCCTAGCGGTCACATTGTCCCTTAATCATCATCAAACTTTGTCAGGATGCTTATCTTGTTGATAGCTCGAACGAGTTTGAACATGGGTCATCTCGGATGAAAAATAGAAAATAGAAAAACCTTGTCAATACTCTAATTGTCACATGTTTGACTTAATTCTCATCATTCTTGGTCAGGATGCTTGTCTAGGTAATTGCTCAAATGAGTTCGAACATAAGCTATCTCGTATGAAAAACTAGGTCACAGGAGTAAAAAAAAAGAAAAACCTTGTAAACACTCTATTGTTTAGTCACATTTTTGACTCAATTATCGTCAAACTTGGTGCTTGTCTATGTCATTACTCGGATGAGTTTGAACATGGGTCATTTAGGATGAAAAACTAGGTCACAGGAGCTAAAAAGAGAAAAAAAAACCTTGTTAGATAGATAGATAGATTTATTTCGGCAAAGGAAGAATAAACTTAGTTGACAATATAACATAAGATAAAATAATGAGCATAATAAAATACTATATCACATACGAGTAAAACTATGACATGCTCACTAAAACCAAGGATAACACAAAAAAGGGCAAAAAAAGCTCTTATTTCCATTGTGGTCCTTTGTATTGGCGGCATGACATAGAGAGGCAAACCTAAATATAATCATGTTTAAAAATACTAATAAATCATAAAAATGTATATCACACTAAAATCTTGAGTTAATGATACTCTTGTTTACAGCTAGGATTTAAAACACATTACTAAAATTGTAATAAGATAAATAGCAGACAATTTAAAATCCTGAGCCGAAATATGTAAAAACATGTTTAAAAAAAAATTAAATACTGTTCATAAGATGACTGTTGATGGCAACCTTAAAACTTTGTAACCTGTTGATCTCCGTTAACTTTACAGGTAAATCATTCCATAATTTAATACCAGAGAAAGCAAAGGATTTAGTACCCTGGCCTTTGACCTTAGGTAGACAATATCCACCCTTTTGACTAAGTCTTGTACTATAATTATGAATGGAATCTTGTGAAATAAAGTGTTCAGACATGTAATCCGGAGATAGGCCATTTTTTATCTTAAAAACATGACACAACATTATATGTTCAACTCTTTTGTGGACCGGTAACCAGTTAAGGGACTTAAAGTGGGATGGGTCAATGTGGGCTCTGGAGTCAAAGTCAAGTACAAATCTCATTGTTTTGTTTTGACAAGTTTGTAACTTATTTTTTAAAGACTGTGTATATATACCAAACAGAGCATGCGTAATCATAATGACACTGAATAAGAGACATAACCAGAAGTTTCTTGGTATGCTGAGTAAGAAACTCTTTCTTGCGGTAAAGAAATTTTAACCGAGAGTTGGCCTTCTTAAGAACAGACTCAGCCATGGTGCAAAATGACAGATTTTGGTCTATAGTAATCCCAAGATACTTGATAGATGAAGTTGATTCAATGGATGTACCAGAACAGGTTATATGCAGGTTAGATTGTGACCTAAGCTTTTGCCTGGACCCAAATAAAATTGACTCGGTTTTACCCAAGTGCAATGACAACTTATTGTCCACTAACCATTGGCTGACCAATTCCATATCATCTGTCAATGCCTTTAATTGTTAACACGCTAGTTGCTACTGTTTTGATCGAAATATCATGTAAATTGGTCTGAAAATTTGTTTTGATGATTTCTAGGTCAAGTTTGAACATGGGTTATCTCGGATGAAAACAAGGTCACACCGCTTAAATATGGAAAACCATGTTTACACTCTACTGGTCACATATTTTACTCAAATATCATCAAACTTGCTCAAGATGTTTGTCTATGTAATTGATTGCGTGAAGTCGAACATGGGTTATCTCGCTTGAAACACTAGGTCATCAAAGCTTAGAGTAGAAAAATCTTGTTACACTCTAGTGGCTTCTGTTTCGATCCAAGTATCCTGGAAAATGGTTTGAAATTTTGTTTTGATGGTTTCTTGGTCAAGTTTGAATATGGGTCACCTAGTTAAAAAATTAGGTCACACTGCTCAAATATGGATAATCTTTGTTAACACAGTTCTGGTAGTTAAGCACGGAGGAAGGTAGTCTTGTACTGGTGTAACTCTCCAGGAACGATGGTTAGGAAACTACCCTCCTAAATGACTAAAACACTGTTGTAAAAAGGCGTTAAATGAAACAAACAAGCAAACAAAATTTGACTCACCTGCCAGGAAACTTGGTCAGAATGCTTGTTTAGGTAATTGTTCGGATGAGTTCGATGGTCCAGGAGAGCGGTATAGGGCCATTATGGCCCTCTTGTTTTTTTTAACCAACGTAATATGAATGCAGTTAGATCTAAATGAAATTTGCCTAATTTGCAATAATGTAATGATTTTCATACAGTCATAATAATTGGGTAACAACCGACGCTAAAGTGTACCAAAGTTTGCGAAATGAATGTCCATCAAAAAATAAAAAATAAATGAAAAAACATTAAACAAGTGGAATTATGGAAAAAATCGAAAAGATGGGAAACAAAGAAATGGAATATGTGGTTATATGAAAAATTCTTACTGTTTGTATTTTCTGAGGTTAGTTATTATCATAAAGTAGTCATATTTCATCAGATATTGTACAATTAAAACTATATTGAAAACTATTTTTAAGTAATGTGTCAAGAACTAAAAAGATTTGTTTGTTTTTTGTTGTTTTTTTTTTGGGGGGGGGGGGATATTGTACTTTATATTGACAACGTTTCTTTTTGTGATACAGTAATATGCCATAAAACCCGCCAGCTCTTGCACTATATATTATTTGTACAGCTTTAAAAGTTATATGTGTGAACAATTTCATCTAATCAATTGATGTTAATGGCAAAATACTAAGTTAATGTGTCTTAAAGTAAATTGTTTCATATTGGGATGTTTGTTATACAAGAAAATAAATAATGTTGTTAGTACATTTAGTGCAATTACATGAACCCAGGAATAATTATATATAGATGTTGTTGGTAAGTGTTAGTTACCTGACCCGATTAAAATATTTATATAAAGCAGTAAGCAAATGAAGACATAGAACAAGGCAAAGGCAATGTTCTCAGAAAGCAGCACCCGACACAAACCAGACACAACAGCAAGGCAACCAGCAAGTTCCGAACTAACCAAATCCAAGTAATAGTTATTATAAACTTTAACGTAAGAAAGCCAGCACAAATCGATATGATATGTATCTAGTTGTTTCTATATTAATTTAATTATTTGATAAATATTGATTACAGAGAGTTTAAAAAAAACTTCAATCTTCCTACTCAATCCGTATATTTAATATGCAGTACCCTTTTATGTAAATGTACAGATAATAAATAAATTTTGTTGAAACAAAATTCTATCAGGTCAGGACTACCAACAAATCTCATTTCCTCAAATTGATTAAGAACAAGATATTATCACCTGTCACATATTTTATACGAAATCACCTTGAGCCAAAACTACAACTTAGTTACAGAAATATTTCATCTGAGTATACACAATAATATATTGCCATGTGTTTTTTTATCAATATTTGGAATACGTATAGGAAAAGTGGCAATTGTTGACCTATTAGCCTAATGCCAAAAAACTTGAATCATAAAAAACATCAATGTCTACAAAAT